CTTTCCAGCTTTTCCGGTACTTGGTTTCACTTATTGCCTTCTACCTAACCCGACTGCTGTCTCACCCCCTTATTGTGTTCTAACATATGACTTAAAAGTTAAAAGTATTTAAGAGTTTCCCGGAGTTGCAGTGGAGCCCCTTAGACGTTTTAATGGAGCCCTTTATAGGCACAGGTAAGAAAACACTGTTGTTAACGTTAAAAATGTTAAAGGGGCTATCTATTACATTTGGTAATAGGGGAGAGAGACTGGAATCAGGTTTGGGTAAAAGGAAATGAGCGAAACAAAGTATGGGACACTATCTGTGACGTAGTATACGAGAGGACAGCAAGAGGAATGTGATAGAATATATGTAGGGGAGAAAATTAATACAGGCAAAATTGAATGAAAGAGAGGAAAAGTAAATCCACTGTGATTTTCTTAACGAGGCGAGGTCGCGTAAAGGTTTTTACAAGTGAATGAGAGCATGATATTCATGCCATGTGGTGTCATGGTCCCATAAGTCTGAATCAGTTTTTTTTTCCAAATTCGCCCGGTTTGGTGTGTTTGTACAAGAAACAGCGGTGGTGATAGCAAAGTCCTTTGAGCCCTTGTGGTCGCTTCTGTTGAAGTGTTTTGAGATGGGACACTGCTTAACTTGCGCAGTATTTCGAAGGTGTTCAGAACGTCTGTCTGAGAGGCGGCGTCAAGTCTTACCAAGATATGCAATCTGGGAGCATGTACAAGCAATGGTGTAGACAACATTTCGAAGATTACAAAGTAAAGGAAACCTTCCCTTACCTGAAAATATAAATTTAAGGACTGCATTCAAGCCTAGTAAATGAATGAAATAGCAAAACGAGGTATGTGGAAGCTTGAATTAGAGAACAGGACAAATATATAAGGACGTTTCGGCATAAAGCCTTCTTCAGCTAACAGTAGAAATGAAAATATCACAAAGAACAGAGCTCAGTATACAACTCAATAAATATCCATTGGCGTCGCCGGAAGTGCGAACACAAGAAGCGAGAGAATATAAATATTGAAACTGTGAAAAATGAAGTCCACAATAATAATGGACCAGAATACCCAGGGATACATAGACACACAGCAATGAGAAAATAGATGTAATATAGGGAAACAGAGAAACATCAGTAGGGTATTATTTGATTAATACCATATGGAGATATGGTGCCAAACAGCTGAATAAATTTATTTTCCCTTTTAACCCTCTCTGGTGTGTTACTGCGTGATATCAGTGCCGTAATGGTTACATCCAATGCACCTTTATGTTCTTTTATGTTGAAATGAGAAGAAACTGGGGGAAGGTTTACATTGCTCAATATCCCAGAGATGTTCAGTAAACCTATCAGCCAATATTCTCCCAGTTTCATTTATGATGTAACTAGATTGGCAACTTTATTTGCATTTTTATAAACACTCAAAATTATTTAATACATTTTCGAATAAAAGCATCAAGATTTTAATTTGTGTGTTGCAAAATAAATTTTGTTGGGTTCAACCATTAAATTAAAGGGAATGTACTTGCAAAACATTACTTGCACAATTTTAATAGTTAAACCCCCTTTTGTTTGTAGCAACAACAATGGCGGCGCTAGGTCTCTGAAACCGGTCGAATATGGCTAATTTTTATAGGTTGTTTTTTTACATTGTGGGAAATAATTAATGTAAGTATAGGACCAAAATGAAAATTTGAAGAAATATGTAAAATCTAGTCATTTAAAGGAAAAATATGAACACATTCCGTCTGTAATTAATGTTTATTTCTATCGATCTGCCTAGCTACCTTTTCTGTGTTTTCGCCTGCACTTAGTCAATACTAATTGTCGAGCCGAAAAAGCAGATTCCAGGGATTTGATATGTCCACTCTGATTGACAGTGAAGCTCTACTGGAAATCTAAATCAGTAAGCGTCATACCAAATAATTTAGATTTGTTTTATCACTGACTATAAATAGGGCCTACTTCTTAATAATTACTTTTTGAGTAATTGCGGCTCCCCTGGCCATAGGCTCAATTTGTTATCGTGGTAATGTGCTTGTGCAATACAATCAACATTTCCTGTTTCTCCCCTTTTGACAAAAACATATCCTTTTACCAGAAATATTTTATAGGCAGTGTCTACACGTCCAGCCCGCTGGACATATATCTCCCGCACTATCTGTCAGTCGACCAAGTCACATGACCGCCGGAAGAATAATTTATCGAGATATTCGTCCGGCGACCGAGTCACATTACCACCGTAACAAAGTGACATGAGATATTTGTCCGTCAGCCTTGTCACGTAACCGCGAATAATTAAAAAACTATTGTTAATTTTAAAATCTATTTCCTTCCCAAGTAATTTACTGAGTATCTTGCAAACAAATAATAGAAAAACATACTTGGGTATATTATCAAAAAAAGTGGGGGTTAAGCATTCTAGAAGGAAGCAATAAGCTCTACCCATCATAGTGAATTATGCTTAGAAAGCTTTGTGCTATACCCATGGATGCCATGGTGTACTATGCTTATGGTGCCCTACCCATTCCGGCCTTAAATTTAAACTAAGATTAACACTGTACAGCTGCAGTGAATTACAAATGGACAATGAAACAAATGATAGTTCTGAACCACACCTATACTTTTTTCAAAATGTTTATTAATGACTTTAAATAGACTTAGTGACTAAGACTATTATAATTGTTGATTTATTCTAATTATTAGTCTTGCTCAGTGTGTTGTTTAGAGAGTTTTAAATGATAAGTAAGTGAAAGAAAAAAAAAAGTGTCACCCAAGGTAGACACCCCCCCCCCACCCCTATCCCCCCCATCTTATTTCATTGAACAATAAAATAAAAATGAAACAGATTTATATTTTGATTTAATTAAATGATTAAAAAAAGAAGCCATTGAATTTCAGAACTCCAGAAATTACCTTGTTTCTTAATAGTATAATACATTTGATTTTGCACGATAACCTTTCAGAAATAAATAATAAAAGAGATGAACCCAGACCCTGATGAGATGGTGCATCCAGGTCAGGAAGAACTTCAATGGGGAGAAGGGATTAAAGAACAGAACAGAGGTAAATATTGTCTAATATCACTAACAATTAAAATTTCCTTTCACATTTTGGGCAATAACTTCTTGGATAATTTTGTAACTAAGAATATGATAATAAGTGGGAGAAGATGCAATCAGGTTAAGTCGATGGATACTAGTGAAACAAATAATGGGAAGTCCTGACATAAAAGCACAACAAAACAACGAATCTGTTGGCCTTCCTCTTGCTGTCCTCTTGGATACGAAGTGTTTATTTTAATTTTTATATTGCTTTTTAACGGTTGTTTGTTTGCTGAAGGAGGATTCTTGCCAACATGTTCATTGTTTTGTTGTTTCATTTTTCAGGTTTTCCCATTCTTTGTTTTGCTCATTTCCTAAGGATATTTAAGGGTGAAACTACATTATTTATTTGTTTCAAATAGGTAGCTATAGATTAGGGCTATTTAATCAATAAAAAAAATTGTTATTATATTTAAATAGACTTGACTTTTTTATTTACAAGCCAGCCCAGAATTAAGGCCCATGGCCAATGTTCCCTCTAAGGTTTGTTGGTTCGTGTGCAAAATCATACAGTTGTGTGCACATTTTTACAGCATCAATTTTTTTGTGCGCAAAATTTTAAAGCCTACAGACACAAACACACACTTAAGTGGAAATTAGCTGCGCGGTACTCAAAACTGCTGCGCGGTACTCAAAACTGCTGCGCGGCATCTGTGAGATTGCTGCGCAGCATCTGTGAGATTGCTGCGCGGCATCTGTGAGATTGCTGCGCGGCATCTGTGAGATTGCTGCACGGCATCTGTGAGATTGCTGCGCTGCATCTGTGAGATTGCTGCGCGGCTGCGCAGCTTAAAGGGAACATTCCCCATGGCATATCCTGTTAAAATTTTGTCAACTATTTAATATAAAAGGATATCTAAAAGATAGTTTTCAACTTAGGAAATAATATTCTGTGTCAAAGTCTTATAAGTGCAATCACTAAGCAGTGCTTAATGAACAGATGGTGAGAAAGATTGAGGATTGTCAATGACCTGGTCCAAGCCTAAAACAAAAGGGTTGTTATGGAAATGAAACTTTAGAATTATTAATTACTTCCTATGTATACGCATCGGGTCTTTCGACTTTAAGTCAGCCAATGCTTGAAGAGGCTCAACACTTGCTCATTGACCACTTATCAAATGGATTATAAGTGAAAAAAGAATGAAAGAAAACTTATTAGATAATATTCTCTTGTAAGTAATTGTCATTCTTTGTCAGCAGCTTAGCGGCTAAGTTTACAGGGTTGTCAACTGTTCAAGAGCTATCTCTTAATACTCAGGATCATGGTTTCACATAGAGGCTAAAATACTGTAAAGATGAGTAGACAACACGGTCTTTGAATTGAATCCATCCAGCTGTGTTATAATATTGATTTTTTTCAGTATGTTGCAGTAACTGTTGTAAATCCTCTGCTGCTGCTGCGGCTGCTGCTGCTGATCCTGCTGTTGGTAATCTAACATTTAATTGGAAATGATTTTTTTGGTTTTTGTTTCAGCCCATAAATTGAGAATGCTTTTTGAATTCTAGGCTCTGCACCGGAGACTTATTAGTTCTATTGATGACATTCTTTGTTTTATGTTCTTTGTCTTGATATTTTACTATTTAAAATTTTATTTTGATTTTTAAGTAAATTTTTGCAGATTTCCATATTAAAATATGATGTAATGAATTTCTGATTTTTAAAAATCATGCAGTCATGTCGGTTTATGCAGGTAGAGGGACTAATATGATATTTAGGCCTACCTTGATAGTTAATTCCGAGGAAAATTTTCTCAAATTCACCCTAAAAGATCCAGATACTGATCAAATAAAAAAAAAATTATTACATTTTTCATTTCTTTTTCTCTTCCTTAATCCAAAGTTGTAATATGTGAACCAGAATATTCAAAGACAAATCATTTTGGTTTTTCTACCCCCAGATAATGAGCCACGGTCAAGCTACTGGGCCATAAGTGAGCAAGCTCGCAAAATGATACCAGGAGAAAAGCAGTGTAAAATATTTTGTGGTGGTAAGACTTGCAAATACTGCACAGAGTTCAATTGGAAGCCTCATCAAATGGCCATCAGTGGTCTATATTCAGAATGGTAAGTCAACACTAACTTACCTTTAGGTTCATAAATTGATGATGAATTGTGGAATCTGTCCATAATCCATCTGTAACTACTGTATTTTTATTATTATATTTTTGTTATAAAAATGGAGCTCACTTATTTGCATGCTCAAATTAAAAGGGCCAGTAACTCAAGTTACTGGTGAGCCAACAATGAGGGAATAATTGCTTTATAAAATAAGGATCGTAAATAAAGAATTTCAAGGTTATTTATTGGGTAAATCATTTGATTGCTTGAAATAAATAAGTATAATGTTTTCAATTAATTGCGATGACTAAACAATGGTAGGTAAGTCCAAATATTACATCAAAACTTGTGAATTTATCAATATAGCTAAATATTTGAATTATTTTGTTAACATATCTAATAAATACTTGAGTGATTTTTTTAACATATAAAATAAATAAATGATTTTGTTTACATATCAATATCATTGAATGATTTTGTTAACATATCCATATATTTCAATGATTTTTTAAAATAGTTATGTATTTGATTAATTTTGTTAACACACACATATATATATATATATAAATATATATAAATATATATATATATGTATATATTAAAATGATTTTTTAACATATCTATATAATTGAATGATTTTATTAAAATATCTAAATATTTGATGATTTTTTTAGCATGTGTATTTATTGAATAATTTTGTTAACATATTAAATGTTTTTTTTTTCTTTTAGGGTCACAGATAATATTCTTGCCATGGCCAGACTGTCCAATCAAAACATTGAAAAATATGACATGCTTAAGCAGCTAAGAGAGTAAGGAATAGTCATTAATTTCATTTTAAGGATACAAGTTAATACACTGAATGCACAAAATCACACTCTATTCGGGTCATTCATTTAATACTAAAGTTTGTGTGTGGCCCAATCGTTTATTGTCCCAGTGCCGGCACTGACCACCAGGTGTATTGCTCACACTGCTGGAACCGAAATCTTTAAATCAATGAGACCTAAATCAGCGGCTCTTATACAGTGTGTGAATTTTGACATTATAATGAGAAATTTAAATCAGTGGTTCTAAAAAAATGTGTGAATTTTAAAATTGTAATGAGAAACTAAATCAGTGGCTCTAAAACAGTGTGTGAATTTTAACATTGTAAGGAGAAAATTAACAATTTTTGGTTGAATGTGTTCTCAGCTTGAATGTGAAAACCATTGTCAATCTACAACAGCCAGGCGAGCATGCCTACTGTGGCTTTGGCAATGACGGCAGTGGCTTTTCATATAATCCACAGAAGCTAATGGATTCCGGATGTAAGCCTTATTGTTTTGTTCACACTTTGTGTTTGTTTGTAGACATCATACACTTTCTGGCGTGAGTTTCTCCGCTTTCATTTACCTAGTGATAAGGTGTTGGTTATTTTAGGTGTCAGCCACTGTTGGAGACCTCGTTGTTGATATGTGAGGGAGACCTTGTTGTTGATATGTGAGGGAGACCTTGTTGTTGATACATGAGGGAGACCTTTTTGTTAAAATTTGAGGTTGACCTTGTTGAGACATGAGGGAGGCCTTGTTGTTGATCCACCTGAGAGACCTTTTTGTTAATATTTGAAGGTGACCTTGTTGTTGAGACATGAAAGAGGCCTTGTTTTTGATATGTGAGGGAGACCTTCTTGTTAATGTTTAAGGGAGACCTTGTTGTTGATACACCAGGGAGACCTTGTTGATATGTAAGAGATTCCTTGTTGATATATAAGGGAGGACCTTGTAGTTAAATGGGGGGAAACATTTTTGTTGATAAGTGAGGGATACTTTGTTGTTGATGAGTAAGGGAGACCTTGTTGATCAGTGGGGGAGACCTTTTTGTTGATAAGTGGTCTAGAAATTTTTGTTGATAAGGCTTGTGACTGCTTGCACATAATTTTCTAAGATGAAATATTTTGGCTCTCTTTTCAGTTTTCTTCTACAACTTTGCCATGTAAGTACTGGTGTCATGTGACATTGTTTAAAAACACTAGATAGAACTTGTTTACAAACACTAGATGGAACTTGTTTACAAACACTAGATACAACTTGTTTAGATAGAACTTGTCTTAAAAAGTTCAACTTGAACTTAATGAGGCTGATTGATTTTTAAATAGAAGATAAATTTATCGGTTCTTCCCCCCTAACTCACTAACATGCTGATAGTTTAATGTGTATGGGTTACCTGTGGAGAGTTCACCCCCTTTTTACCTTTGAATGCAAGCAAAAGATGGAAGCGGTGATAAAGAATTGTACTTGCAGATCTTGAGTTATCTCTCGTGGTATCCCATACAAAAACTAATCAACACAATAGACTTTGACCCTGGTTGATTCAGAAGCCAACTGGTGTCAGCATGGCATAATGTTTATAAAAGCTTGAGAACCTTTACTTCCTAAATTTGCCTAAAGGAATGTTCAACTTTTATTTTAATGCTAGATAATAAATGTGTAGGCCGACAATACTTTAGCTGTTTGGTCATCGATTGTTAACTAATGTAAAGACTGATCAAACTTCATTGATAATTTTTTATTTAATCTGGGGCTAATGAGATTCCAGGATTTTAATGGCCCACCAACCCTTCCCCATGCCCTAAACCAAATGAACCTGCTGCAAGCAAAGATTATGTTGTCAAACTTGGCTGCAATTTAAGTGAGGAATTATGTTCACTACTGCTAGAGGAATTGTGTTGACTATTGCTAGAGGAAATTTTAATGTGTTGGCATTTGCTAGAGGAATTGTATTGACTATTGATAGAGGAATTGTGTTGGCTATTGCTAGAGGAATTGTGTTGACTATTTCTAGAGGACATGGGTTGACTAATGCTAGAGAAATTGTGTTCACTATTGCTAGGCCCTACAATTATTTGTGACACAGGCTTAAAAAAACAATAAAATAATTTGGTGTTAAATTTTTTGATCATCTTCAATTACTCTGTAATAATGTGACATTGACTTCAATTATTCTAATTGTAACAATGTTACATTGACTAATTCTTAATTAATTAGATAAGAGCATATTTAGTAGACATTAAGGTAATTAATTTTACTTTACAACATTGCTGACTCAAAACATCCATTCTACATGATTTGGTTAGCTTTAATCTCCGTATGGTTAGCACTGATATAGTCTCCTTATTGTCAAAACTGTTATAATCTACTTACTGTCATAAATGTTATAATTTATAATCTACTTACTGTCATAAATGTTATAATCTACTTACTGTCATAACTGTTATTATCTAGTTTTTGTCAAAACTGTTATAATTTACTTATTGTCATAATTGTTATAATATTTTTACTGTTCAAACTTTTCTAGGGAAGACTATGGCGTGACATCAATGTCAAAAATGCTAGACATCGTTAAAGTCATGCAGTTCGCTGTTTCCCTTGGTAAAATTGCTGTTCACTGTCACGCTGGACTGGGTAGGTCTTTACTGTCACGCTGGACTGGGTAGGTCTTAACAAAAAAGCTTGTCAAATAATCAGGTAGAAAGATGTACGTGACATTGCCAATAGGCCAAGATTATGGCTGAAATGTTGATCTGCTGGTTTGGATGGAATTATAGTCTGCTAAACCAGCCACATTAACATAATATAGGGGAGAGGGAAAGCTTTAAACCAGCCACATTAACATATAGGGGAGAGGGAAAGCTTTAAACCAGCCACATTAGCATATAGGTGATAGAAAAAGCTTTAAAACCAGCCACATTAGCATATAGGTGAAAGAAGAAGCCTTAAAAACAGCCATATTAGCATATAGGTGAAAGAAAAAGCTTTAAAACCAGCCACATTAGCATATAGGTGATAGAAAAAGCTTTAGACCAGCCACATTAGCATATAGGTGAAAGAAAAAGCTTTAAAACCAGCCATGTTAGCATATAGGTGAAAGAAAAAGCTTTAAAACCAGCCATGTTAGCATATAGGTGAAAGAAAAAGCTTTAAAACCAGCCATGTTAGCATATAGGTGAAAGAAAAAGCTTTAAAACCAGCCATGTTAGCATATAGGTGAAAGAAAAAGCTTTAAAACCAGCCATGTTAGCATATAAGTGATAGAAAAAGCTTTAAAACCTGCAACATTAGCATATTTTTTCTCATTGTCTGTTGCCTTTGTTGTTCTCCTGAGGAATAAGCTATTAAAATATTAACTGTTTTAAATGAGACAAATATTTTATGCTCTTTTATCATCACCTGACAACAGGAAGAACTGGGCTTATTATTGCTTGCTATCTGATCTATACCAACAGAGTCTCAGCCAAGAAAGCCGTACTATATGTCAGGTCTCGGAGGTAGGTCTCAGCCATAAAAAGCTATAATATATATCAGGTCTTGGAGTTAGGTCTCAGATATAGATTACAACTTGTGAGGCCTAGGAGTACATCATATATATATAGTTTAAAAAATGTCAAATATGGGAGCTAGGCCACAGATATAGATTACAACTTGTGAGGCCTAGGAGTACATCATATATATATATAGTTTAAAAAATGTCAAATATGGGAGCTAGGCCACAGATATAGATTACAACTTGTGAGGCCTAGGAGTACATCATATATATATAGTTTAAAATATGTCAAATATGGGAGCTAGGCTACAGATATAGATTAAAATAGCACTCTTAGGATGCATTCATTTCAATGTATATCTAAGACCCACCTTGTCTTTAGTGCTATAAGCACATATAACAATTATCTCAATAAATTCAATTTTCTTTTGATTCCACCATCATTCCTTATCATTTCTCTTTATTGTGATGCAAAAGGGGAACTCACTGCCATTGGGGAACACACGGCCATTGGGGAACATGCTGCCATTGGGGAACATGCTGCCATTGGGGAACACACGGCCATTGGGGAACACACTGCCATTGGGTACACATTGTCATTGGGGAACACACTGTCAATAAGGACACGCTGTCACTGGGGAACACATGGTCACTGCGGACAGATTGCTTTTGGGGCACACTGCCATTGGGGATGCACAGGGATGCACTGTCACTGGGGATGCACTGTCATTGGGGATGCACTGGGATGCACTGTCATTGGTGATGCACTGCCATTGGGGATGCACTGTCATTGGTGATGCACTGCCATTGGGGATGCATTGCCATTAGTTTCACACAGCAAATCAGTCTATTTTGACATGTGATTTTTAGACATCTAAGGAGATACAGCTTGTCTTAGAATAAATAAAGCTTCTGAAATCTTTAAAAACACATTGAAAGCTTTGTGTATAAACATGGGAATATAAAGTTACATCATCTTTTTGTGTGTATAAACATGCGAATATAAAGTAACATATCGTCTTTTTGTGTGTATAAACATGGAAATAATAAGTAACATCTCATCTTTTCTTTTGTATAAAGATGGAAATAAAGTCAAGCACCTCCCCCAAATCATCCTTGTGTATAAATAACTTTTAACCTGAGTTAGTAATTTATTTTTTCCCATTGCTTTTTCCTTTGCTAACAGACCTGGATCCATTCAGACAAGTCTGCAAGTCAAGACATGTTTTAGATTTGAAGAGTTCATCAAGGTTTATTTCGTCATATTTTCATCCAAGTGAGTGGGGCTGTTACTCTTTGTCATAATCAAATGTGCAGTTATCCCCCTTGAACTGCCAACATAAACAATAAATTTATCCGGACCCTTTTTTTAAATAAAAATTCATTTAACTTGAAGTTAACTGTGAGCTTAAATTGTTTTCCCCTTCTGTGTAACAAAAAAAAATCACTTTTATCATATTGTAGCCACAAAGAATTTAAACTTCCTTCTTGACTCAAACCATTTAAGGAAGTTTAGAAAATACAAAAATCGCCTTGATTTGAATCAAATGGATGTTAAAAATTTTTGTAAGACATTTTGTCGATATAAACAAATGATACTTATATTTATTCCTTATTTGATATTATCAGTCATAGGTAAATAATATACGTATATGTAATAGAGATTATATCAGGGTGTCGTGTAAATGTTTAGAACATTCAAAGCCAGAAGACACAAAAAGTGATTTGAATAGTCTACTTGCCTGTTGTCCTATCTCATAATTTGTTGGTTGACTATGGTGACTTTCTGTTGAACTCTTGATTCTGAGGCATCTTCTTATGACTTAAGTTTTGTTTCCTCTTGCTATTGCTTTAGTTGTTCTGCTTGCTGAAAGGGACTTGTTGAAAGGGACTTGTTGAAAGGGACTTGTTGAAAGGGGCTTGTAGAAAGGGACTTGTTGAAAGGGACTTGTTGAAAGGGACTTGTTGAAAGGGACTTGTTGAAAGGGACTTGTTGAAAGG